GTAGAGACAAGACACAAAGCAGATGGACAAGTAGGAATGAATTAAGGGCATATGGTAAAGAGAGACGAAGGAAGGACAGAAAGAAAAGAGGGGAAGGCACAAACTTCGGACAATGGGACGGAGAAAACTGTCACGGCTCACTGAGGGCCAACTAATGTGTGCTGAAAACCTCTTTCTTGCTCTCACCTGTGCGTCCCGTGGATGTGTTGTTGTTCAGCAGCTCTCCGCTTGAAGACTGAACCATAACACCGTACAGTTGACCTGGCTGCAGCCAGTCAAACGTCACCTCATTTTGGTGCTTGAGGACAGCTTGGACAGCCAGTTCTCGACTCTCTCTGTACAGAAAGACTGAGTATCCATCCACATCACCTGGCCCAGGAGTCCAGCTCACCTTCAGATGACTGCTGTCACCGTTAACATGGATGTTCTTCACCTTACTAGGAACTAGCAGAACCGAAGCACTCAAATTAAAAATAATGCAGGGGATTTCATGGTTGCATTACGATAATTTTTATGACCGTGTCTAAATTTTACCTGTTCGACCCTCTATGAACTGGGTCCTCTGATTTGGACCGCTGAAGGTTGAAACTAAGATCTTGTAGAGTCGCCCAGGTGTGAGTGATGACAGGACACACTCCCCCACCCCACTGCCCAGAGTGAGAGGTGGAAACACTTTCATGTCACTGAACAGCAGCTGCACTTCATAGTGATCCACATCACCTGGAGCTGCCAACCATGTCACCCGAAGGTCCTCAGTCCCCCGTCCCGCAAGACTGAGAGATTGGACCGCTGCTGGGACTGAATCAGGGACAGCACAGGAACTGTGGTTAGAGCCCGTAAAGCCTTTCGTCATATATTAAGAAATAACCAAGATTATGAATGTCGGGGAGCTACTCACAGGTTCTTCCATGGGTGGACGCACTGGCTTCGTAAGAACCGCTCCAGGTGTTCACTAGTACTGTGTAGAGCCGTCCTGGTACCAGTCCAGTGAACACACACTCGCTCTGTGTCTTCTGGACTGTCTTGTTCTGCAGGAAGGTGTTGTTGTGTTTGATGAACACCTGGTAGAAGTCAAGGTCTCCAGCAGCATGACGCCAATAAACCTTCAGGGAGTCATCCCGAGCACCATGAGTCGCTGTGGGGTTCTGCACCTTTGAGGGCTCTAAGGGGTCAAAGAAACAAGTGACAACCTGTTTAATAGATCTGGGTAGAATTTATTTTTTATTTTTTTTTCAATTTTCATCAAATCAGGAGCTGGAACATTCAGAGCATTGATTAACAGAGACATTCATAATCCAGAATAAAAGATTTTGTGAGGGAGAGAGATCAAGAACCAAAATAGAGCCCAGAGACAAGAGCTGAAACCACAACAAATTCAAGAGAAAAAGATTCATGACAAAAAAAATTAATTAAACCAAGGACCAGCGAAATCCAAAACCCAGAGAAATTAAATTAAAACCAGGAAAGTGTTAGCCAGGACCCAAACAAACACAAGCAGAACTAGGACACAGACATATAGAATGCAAAAGAAAGTATTAGAACAAGGTCAGTAATAGCCAGAAGTCAAACAAAAATAATTAACACTAAAAAAGGGACAGACAGAACCCAAATAAACACAATAAGAACCAGGACAGAGACAGCTGGAAGCTGGCTTCCAGGTAAAGGCAGTATGAACAAAAACACCAAGAGACAACAAGAAGTTGTCATTGTTTCACTGACAACTAAAACCAAGCAAGAACCAAGCCAAAACAACAAGAAACCTTTATAGAGACACTCTAGAATCCAGAGAGAATTAGAACCTGCATGGAGGAAAACACCCAGAACTCAGACTCAGAGAAGAACTGCTCACGTGTTCTCTCCTGGATGAAGGTGTGGTTTCTGTAGCGACCGCTGCAGCTGGTGATGGAGATGTTGTAGAGGCGTCCAGATACCAGCGAGTTGAAGATGCAGCCAGGGTTGAACTTTGACACGGCCAGGCTGTGCAGTGTCCTGTCACGGTCACTCAGGGTTACCAAGTAACTATCCACCTCACCTGCAGCCTGATTCCAGGACACGGTGAGGAAATCCGTGCGACCATTGTTACTGACCCGAACATCGGTGACCGCCGCTGGCACTGGGGGAAGAGAGGTTGAGTCAGACACACAGTCAGATGTGAAGACAGCACAGTAGTGACATCATGCATACCACTTCAGTGTGTACCTGTTAGACTTACTGAAAGCAGGGAAAAGTTTAATCATCTTAAAGAGATCAAACCGTAGCAAGAGGTTTCAAGATTGAACTCAGAAAACAAAAGATGGGACAAAGGTTCCATTTTAATTCATCAGGAATGCTGAAGATTACTGATAATGAGATATGTGAAGACTCTCAGAAAGTTCAATGGCAAAACACCAAGGCTCTTCCTGACGGGAAGTCTCTGACCAACAGACCTGGACGCTCTTTTGTGTTGCTGTCCTTGTCGACACTTCCTGAAAATTCCACACAAATTCCAGCTTTTCAATAATATCCGGCTTTCTGCTGGAAACAAACCCAAACAGAGGGAGAGTCTTTCTTTTGGGTCTGCTCTGCCGCCTAAGACCTGTTAAAACAGCCTGAAATCTGCAGACATTGGCTCTGAAACCAATATTTAATTGTTGGTCTCATCAACTTCATTTCGTCTGTTAACATCGATCCCTTCCAACAGTTGAGGTTGTATCACTGTCCAAGAATAACCGTGTCAGTAAAAGTTACGTCTTTAAGTCATGTTCCCATTAGTGCTGATGATCCTACCAAGACATGAAGACCTCCAGCTGCCTTTTACAAACACATCTTAATGTGTTCAACAGTGCAGAGTGATTGTCCTGTCTTTGGTGTCTCCTACCCATTGTAGCCAGCTTAAAACAGATCTGAGGCCATTCCAGCAGGTCTTCTTCCATAGCTCTTCTTCCTTAGTTACAGCTAAGTTTACTCAAGTTTCTATAAACCTGAGGAAAAAATCCATGAGTGTCCCTTGAAAAGATGTCTACTTGGAAGCAATAACATTTGTGCTGGATTTTTCTGTATTAACGCTGCCATCACAAATGTGGAGATGAGCTTTAGCACATGTCATAATACCACCTGATACCCTCACAGAGCCTGGCTGTATTTGAGCATGTAAACATACTTTTGTGAATGTAACTAATGGCAATTTAGATCAATCAGCTGACCTAAAAGTCATATTTTTGGCCTGTGGGAGGAAACTACAATATGTGGAGAGAACCCACTCATGCATGGGAACAACATGCAAACTCTATGCAAAAAATAACCGAGGCTGGGATTCTAACCCGCAACCTTCATGCTGCAATGCAACCGCTCAACTGTGGCCCGTCTTCCACATCAGGGTGTGAATAATCCTACACTACTGTCTTGAAAAGGATAACCGATAGAACTGTCATGCCAGTGACTGGTGAGCTTACCTGTGCGTCCTTCGGCCACAGTCTGTCTGGAAGTGTGTCCGGCTCTGATGGTGGTGACCACCACCTTGTACTGTGCTCCTGGTCTCAGGTTCTGGAAGCTTATGCTGCTGATGTTGCCTGCAACACTCTTATTCTTGATGACGCTGCTGTCACGGACCAGCAGAACTTGGTACGAGTCTTGGTCTCCAGAAGCCAGTTCCCACTGAGCCTGCAGGCTGTCGGTGCTGTCGAGGTTAAAAACCTGCAGCCCGCTGACCGGAGCTGGTGCTGTGAGGACAGATGGTGGCAGATTATTAAATGATAAACCAAGTAACCTGTCAAGCAGCACTCTTTATAGCAATAAAGGCCTCAGACGTACTGGTCCATGCTGTCAGGGAGTCAGAGTTGCTCAGGGTACCGCTGCTAGTTTTCACGGTAACAGTGTAGCGGCGTCCTGAGGCGAGGCCTCGGAAGGTGCACTCTCTGGATCCACCACTGAGGATCCTCTGAGTGTCAGGAGTGGCGAGGTCCTCATCTGTGAGAAGCACCGTGAAGCTGTCCCAACGTCCAACGGGCTGTCTCCACTGCACACTAAGAGACGTCTCATCAGCATGACGAAGGACAAGCTGCTGCACAGGACGAGGTGCTGGGGTCATGGGAGATTTAACTTGTTAGTATCAGAATACTGAAAGTTCAGTAATTAAATCCTAGATGATGTTTCTGCTGGTGGATACAGTCTTTCTCACACCAAACTGGAAGATCTACAGTGTGTGAAGCAGTACTGTCAATAAGAGTTTCTAAGCTTTAAACGCTAAACTGTGCACTTTGATTGAGGCTAGAATCTAAATAAGAAATCCCGTTGGCTTCAACTCAGCTAATACAATCACTGAATGTTTTCTTTTTTTAAAAATTCTGCTTCTTATTCACGCCAAGACACAAGCAGGTCTTTGTGTTACTACAAAATTTCGGGACTTCTGAACTGAAGGACAATAAACAACACCCAGGGTGCATTTATGTGGGGCATTATGTAGAACATCAGGTGTTTTCACATCTTTGAAATACATGCATCACATTTGATGTGTGTGTATGTATAATGGGATCTTTGGGGAGGAATGTACAGTATTATATTTCACTACCATAAACAGGTACATTAGTTTTCTGTGAAGTTGTTGTCTTATTTTTTGCTCTGGAACCCAAAGCAAAAAATGCTCTGGGTTCCAATCCTGGCTTGGGATCTTCCTGCAAAAATTTATATATTTTCCCTGTGCATGTGTGGATTCCCTTTAGCTACTCCATCCTAATACCACAGTCCAAAAACTCTACTAGTAGCTAAGTTGGTCCATTTTGGCCATGTGTGAATAGTGTTTTGTACCATCCTTAAATTCAGACTGTGGTTTTCACTTTCTGCCAAAATCTGACCTGAATCTGTCTGTTGAAGTCCTATCCTCCAATCAGTTGAGAAGTTTAAGCTCTGCTTTCTTGTGCACTGTTGCAACACAAACAAAACTGGACTGAAATGTTCCTGCTGTATCAGTCCATACCCATGACTTGTTTTCTGAAATCAAATTGAAGACAATTATGACAGTAGCTAACCTAGTCTGCTGCTGCAGTGGGCTGTGTTACTCAAACTGCCGCTGTGCACCGCGAACTCTGCAGAGTAGAGCCGTCCTGGAACTAAACCGAGGCTCTGGATGGACACGAGAAGCTCTCTGCTCTTCTTACTGACTGTCCTATTAAATAGAACAGCAGGGCCATCTGTCAACAGAACGCTGTAGTACTCCCAGTCGCCTCTGGGGGGAGACCAGCTGAGTTGCAGCTTGCTGCTGTCAATGGACATGGAGAGGGTGGACACCTGGTCAGGAACTGAAACATAAGGATGCAGAGCAGCCATTATAAAAGGCCCATGTGGTACATAGACAACAGCTGGAGGCTTAATGTTATTTTTAATAGTGAAATAATAATAAAAAAAAAACTACAAAAACATCAACATCTCTTGTATCCCCATATTATCATATTTTTAGTTTATATTCACACATCTCCTCAAAGAGGTCAGCCTTGCTTCAGATAAACCCTAAAGAATGAAACCAGTAACATCAGATGAGTTGAACCAAACACAAACTGAATTGTATTCATCCCTAATACAGTGAAAATCAGTGATTATCTCCCTGACATGCTGCAGTGATGGGTATGTTTGCATGTGTAGCTCAATGGTGCTATTTTGTTTGTAAATCAGATATGGAGTACATGATCATCCTTTCAGGGTCTTCCCCATTATGTCGGTACTGTTTAAACAAACCACATGCAATGTGACTAAGCAGTCCTGGACCCACCTGTCCTTCCTTCAGTCCTGCTCTCTGAACTCAGGCCTCCTGCTGAGGAGTTGACAGACAGCTGGTAGCGGCGTCCAGGGGTTAGACCCTCAAACACCAGCTGGGTGACATTGGGGGCTAGGATTCGTTGCTCAGGGGTCAAACCTGAAGCCCACAGGGTCACTGTAAAAAAGTCCACACCCCCTTTAGGTGCGGTCCAGGAGGCCCGGAGACTCTCTGAGCTGCCATCATTGTTGATAATCAGATCTGACACAGCTGCTGGGACTGAGGAAAAAGAGAGAACATTTAATTTTTTTTTTATCTTCACCCTGCTGTTTTTCCTGACACCTTGTCTGCTTCACCTGCTGGAAAACACCAGCTCTAAAACGTTTGCACCCTCCTCTGTAAGAGAATGTCTTTATCTGAGCAAAAGTCTTGCAGTTGTGTTTCAAGGTTGTCATTATTAGACCTCATATGGACGAATACCAGATTCTTTCAGCAACAAACTGCTCATTAGCGCAAACATGGCTTCAGATGGTTGATCTGGTGTTGTGACCTGATCAGACTTTGATCATTGCTTTGTCTTGTGGAGAGGAAACTTCAGCTTGCAAAGAGGCAGAAAAGGTTCACATTATCAAGAGAAGCAAAAGGAGATAAACCAACCAGTTAACCATAAACTCCTTAAACCTGGTGTCATTTAAACTTCACATATTCTTTCAGAATCAGGTCCCACTTCAGGAAAACAAGGCAAGGATTTCTAATTGTCTGTCAGATCACCAGATGCTGATTTTGAACATATACTGTTGACTGTTTTTTGCTACAGCAATAGGCGGAAACACACTAATGCTACATAGTAAGTACAGGTTCTGCTTCCTCATTGGTCAATGTCTCAGACTGATCAGGAGGAAATAAAGTGAAAAAAAAAATGTCAGCACAAAACTGCTCTTCACCATACAGGATAATCATTCAGAAGTTTCAGTAACATCACTTCAGCATTTGCACCTACCAGTGTAGGCCTGTATGGAGGCAGAGCTCTGCAGGCCAGCAGCATTTGTTACCACGGTGACCCTGTACGGTGTCCCTGGCTGCAGCCCATCCAGCTTGGTGTAGGTCGTAGTGTTCGTCAAAGTGATGTTCCTCAGGAGAAACCCATCCTGGTCCGTCACTAGGACCTTAAAGTTTTCCACCCGTCCTGGGCCAGGCCGCCAGAGCACACTGAGGCTGTCTAAAGATGAGGATGCTACTTGAAGGCCATCCACCGCTGAAGGGGCTGCAGGAAAACCAAGACATGCAGCAGTGAAGATGCTAAACTAATATGTAACATCTTCCAGTACCTGGATCTGGTGCTGATGGACAAAACAACTTCAAAACTACACCAGTTTATTCCACTTTCTATCAGATTTGCAAAAAGGTCTGTAGACTTTTTAACAATTCTGTACATTTCTGTTACTATGCCAAGATCTTCCACCCTGTATCTCACCTGTTACTGCAATGGTGTGCACAGGTGCAGCAGTCTTGTTCCCAGATATGGCCAACACACTGATGTTGTACAGAGTTCCTGGGACAAGGGAGGTGAAACAAGACTGGGGAGCTGCAGAACCCATGACTCTGTTGCTACGAACCATACCGGAGTGGACGTCTTCCAGAGTTACATTATACCAGTCCACATGTCCTGCAGAGAGGGACCAAAGGACTCGCAGCCCAGAGGATCCTTCATGAACTGAAGCCATGTTTTCAGGGTCCAACTGGATCTCAAGCTGAGCTGGACTAACTGGTACTGTGGGAGGAAAAAGGAGAATATCTTTTGAAATGTCAGCAGAAAGACACTTTGAACACTTTGGGAGAATAACTGATCAGGTTATGGAAAGTTTGAGACAGGCTGTTAAAAGGTTAGGGAGGTTCAGGGATCAAGTTATTGGCAGGTTTGGATGGGATGGAAACCAGTTAAGTTCTGGTTGAACTGAATAAAGTCAGTGTTTTAGAGCAGAATGTAGCACTGAGTTAAGGCAAACACAGAAAAAATGCAACAGGTGGGGCAGGAAGTGAACCAGTAGCAATGCCTTGACTGAAAAACAATCCACTGCCGAGACCCAACAGCAACACTGAAACACCGGCTGAGACATTGATGGAAAATGAAAAACTGATGTTGTTGAAATGACAATGCCCCTTAGATTTAGTCCTTTTTCAACTATTTTAAATCAAAAGTAATATACACTGAATTTGGTTTAAATATGTCCATGTTCTATCATTAACTATAAATTCAAAGTGATGCAAAGGTTTTAACCTTAATGGAGATCAACCTGCAGAAAAAAATGAAAGGGAACAGGATCATGGAGAAAAATATTCCAAGTAAGTTCTTACCTGTGCGTATTGAGCCAAGGCTTCTCTCCTCATCGTTCCCAGAGATCACCCTTAGTTCATACAAAGTTCCTGGTTGTAGCTCTGTCATGTTGCAGATAAACGTATATCCATTGTTTCCATCCTGATCACAGCGGACTGCGGTTGGCCTAGAGCCTGGATCCATGAAGGCTGTGAAGTCAGGTGATGGACAGGCAGCAGTGAACCAAACCACTGCTGAGTCCCAGGTGGTCCTGACCTCTGTTAGCTCCACGGCGCAGCTGGTCTGGACCTGCAACAGGAGGTCACTTCATGAGTTGTAACTTCAAAACTGCCTTACCTCAATTGGTTCAACTTTAGAGGTCATGGCGCGGTTCTCCCACGAGTGGCAGTCCAGAGAAGGTAAGGGGATTGCCAAAATGATTTAATAGCCTAAGGCAAAGACCAAATGCTAAAATCTGGGATTAACTTATTCCAGAGGTTTCTGATCAACAGAATCATGGAAGATCAAATCACTCCAATTTTCTCACCTTTCCAATCCTCCACAACAGTCCAAGGATCAAACATCCTGGGAGCATCGCTTGTCCGTCCCGTTAACAGAAGGTAAACATGGTGCATTTCAACCCGGGCTAACACACAGACGAGGTCATGTGACACAGGTACCATCCAGTGCAGGTGAATCATGACCAGAGTAGCAGTATTAGTCCAGCAGATGTCCGATGAGATGCTGGCTGCAACTACGCTTCATTCTTCATCTCATCGGCTCCTGGTCTCCACTCAGTTCACTCTGACTCGGTCTCTTTGACTCAAAATAGAGGCTTGACCCACCCTGCCTTCCTTCCTGCCCGCCCCGTTCATTTTCTCCACCAACCTCCAGCATCAAGCTGGGCTCCATTAGGGCCAACAACATTAGCCATTGTTGAGTTTTCCAGTCAGGAAGAGGCAACAAACATGCTGATTACACAAAACCCAAGGTTCAGTTTGAAGTTGTGTGAAGTTGAGTAGACTGAACGTTTTGAAGCAAAAATTTATGAGCATTTAAACGCTGCTCCATCTCTTTAATCCTCTCAGGGTTATGGAAGTGTTGTAATCTACCTGGGACCCACGTAGAAATGAGAAAGTTGGGTACAAAAACATCCTTCATCTCATCAACTCCTCATTGCAAACGCTTAAATTATTCTTAAATCGCGATCTTGATCTTCACCTGGAGAATAAACTACTCTGTTCCATCAGGTCAGAGCAGATTTTACATTATGAGAAATCTTAAATTCTACAGTGTTTGCATACATTTGTTCTAAGGAGTACAGTACAAACCCTAATAGACTTTGACCACACTCTTCATAAGACAGTGTAGATGGGTATATGCATCTATAATGGTTCAGTAAAAAACCCATTATAGATGCATTTACCATATATCGGAGGAACCCCCAATGTCCTTTTTGCAAAACTAAACTATTATTGTTTTTTTTCAGTCTAACTATTTCTCTCATTGTTGTAGATGAAATGATAGCACACTCTTGTTTAGTTATTTAACGAGAAGCGTTTTTGTACAGCTTTCCACAACATTTTAATTAGGTTAATGTCTAGACTTTGAATGAGCCATTGCAAGAACTTAGTTTCTTTTTTAGCTTGTATATTTGCCCTTTTGTCAGTCATCGTTCTGTTGATGACCCAGCGGGAACTGAGCTGCATGAAGCCAAGCTGTAGAACACTTGAGTTTATACTTGACTTGCATTATTTTGGCAAACAAGAGTATTTAATGGACTGAAAGTTGCCCAGGTCTTGTGGCTGCAAAACAAGCCCAAATAATTACTCCCCATCCACCATGCTTGACATTGGGTATGAAAAATAGCATTTTTAACTTTTCCAGTGTTACATCTGTTTGATATTTCAGAAATTTGCCCCACTAAATCAAAGCCAAGAGGGTACAGTTATGTAAAGAGAAAACAATTCTTAAAAGTGAAGGAGTTTGAATATTTTACTTTTGTTTTTGTATTATTTACGTGAATTTGCAACTTTTGCATGCCCACATGCAACGCATGCCCATTGTATTATTTTCACTTCACAGCTGCCCCATAGCAATCCCATGGGGCAGCCGTGAAGCCTTTAAAGTATAAATAAAAGTACAGGGTTTCCCCCAGAAAACCTACTAAGTCTTGTGGTCTGGGCAACACCAATGCTGCAACTATAAAACTAGCTTAACTCATCTTTACTGTCACTGTGTATAAAAAACCCTATTTAAAATAAACAACGCTTAAACTGGTGGGATGGCAAGTAAAGCCTTGTGGCCCACCAGGCTTATAATAGAGGAAACCCTGAAGTAGGAGCAAAAGCAGAATTATTTTAACAGATAGTATACTCACATGTGTGGTGGCCAGCAGTGGAGATATAGTTGACTGTGTGGTTTGCGTGGTGATGCTAGGGAGACTTGTTGGTACAGCCATTATGGGTGTAGAGGGGGTGGACACTACATGCGTTGTTGCTGTGGGTGTGGTCACTGGTGCAGAGCTCGGTGTTGGCGTTCTGGTTGTAGTTCTGATTGCAAGTGTAGTTGTATGTTTAGCGGCAGATGTGGTTTCATGTGTTAGAGCTTCAGATGTCGTTTCATGTTCAGAAGCTGCTGGTGTGGATTCAGGTGTGGAGATTCCAGGTGTGGACTGAAGTGTAGGCATTGCTGATGTCACTGCAGGCTTCATTTCATGCGTGAAAGCACCAGGTGGGGTTTCAGGTTCAGAATCTCCAGGTGAGGTTCCAGGTGCGGAAGCTGCATTTGTGGTTGCAGATGTAGTTTTAGGGTTCGTTCTTGGAGTGACCCCAGGTGAGGTCATGGGTCCAATCTCAGGTGTTATTACAGATGTATATGCAGATCCTGAAACAGCAGATGTGGCTTCAGGTGTGGTTTGAGGTGTGCCACCGGGTGTGTTGTCAGCTACTTCATTCACTGTCCTAGCTGTGTCTGGATGTTGAGAAAAGCCTTCAACTGAAGGTGAAGCTTCAGAAGCTGTGACAAGTTTGTAATGGTTGTATGATGGGTTTGTCTCTGTCATGGAGACAGATGTAAGGAGTGATTCTCCAGGTGTGTAAGCTATGGTTGGTGTAGCTAAAGTAGAGCCTTTTGTATAAGTAATACGATAAGATGTTGATATGGTGTTTGGCTCAGAGTCAGCAGATGAGCTGTCAGAAAATGTAGCTGCAGCAGATGGTGAAAACTCAAAGGGGAATGTGAAGTCCTTCAGTCCAACTGTGCTCTTCCGTGGATATCCTGCAGAGGAACCAAGCCTGGTTCTGCTTCCACTGGAGTCAATTTGGTTTCCATTAAGGGAGGACAATGTGTTCAACACTGATGCTGTTTCAGTCTTAGGCTGTGGCTTCCTGTGTCCTTTTGAACTGTTTGTCACTTCTGACTGGCCAGTTGCGACTACATCTGGACCAGATGAGACAACGTGAACATCTGATTGGTCGGAGGTGAACACATTTGCATCTGATAACATTGTTGGAATTTCTGATTGGTCAGTGGTGAACACACCTGGACCAGATGAAACAGTTTGGACATTAAACTGATTGGTAGTGGACACACCTGGACCAGATGAAACAGTCTGGACATTCAACTGATTGGTAGTGGACACACCTGGACCAGATGAGACAGTGCGGACATTCAACCGATCAGTGGTGGACACACTTGGACCAGATGAGACGATGTGGACGTTCAGCTGATTGGGGGTGGACACACCTGGACCAGATGAGACGGTGTGGACATTCAACTGATTGGGGGTGGACACACCTGGATCAGATGAGACGGTGTGGACATTCAACTGATTGGTGGTGGACACACCTGGACCAGATGAGACGGTGTGGACATTCAACTGATTGGTGGTGGACACACCTGTGGTAGATAAGACATTGTGAGCCTCTAACTGGTTAGTGGTGGACACACTTGGACCAGACGGGACAGTATGACCATTTAATTGGTCAGTGGTGGACCCACCAACACTGGATAAAGCAGTTTGGTCTGTGTTTGGATAGAAAAGCTCTGAGACAGAGGACGTATCATCTGGAAGTAAATCTGGAGGTTTGGTAGTGTTTCCATGGGCTGAAGCTCCATGAGTTGATGAACTGTGGATGTCGGAGGTGTTAATGTGTCGGGTGGTTCCCAGGACTCTGTCGGTGTTTGACAATGGGTCATTTGTTTTGGTTCTGAATGGACTGCTGAATAGCTCCTCTGGTTCATGTGTAGGCAAAGAAAAACTGGGAAAAGAAGTCGTGCCTGTAAACAAAAACATGAGAAATGAGGATCGTCAAACAATTAAATCTGTATATTCAGAAAAGGTTAAACTCTGAATATGACTTAGCAACAAATCAATTTCATTTTCAGAATTTTATTAAAAAGGAAAGTGACGACACACCCTGATATCAGACGACAAGGGAGATGGCCTCCTGACTGTGGTTATGTCTACGTTGGGTTGCAATAGTTTTTCAGTCTCACTTACTATGTGACAAGTCATTAGCTTCAGACTGCGACTGATCCAGTCTGACCAGCTTCAGAGGTCGACGTTTTCATTTGTGGCTCAGGTTACTAACTGATGTTTGCTTTAAGTTTGATCTAAGTGTCTTTAGGAGTTAGTTATCTGCATGTTCTCCATCACTGATCATGCACTGTAGTTTATGTCTTCCTTTATTTTCATGCAGAGTTTACAGACACTCATGTACCTTCATATTATACTGCAGAATCATTAAAATTTCTGGTCTGGTCCCAATCCTGCTCCATTTATACTTGTGTTGAGATCCAAATAATCCCCAACTCCTGGCAGGAATGATGCTAGGTTCAGACACTGCAGGTTAGACTTTAGCCAAAAAATAAATCAAGCTGAAGGTGTCAAAGTGAAGGGGGATCCTCTGTTGCTCAGCTGCACCATAACCTGATTCTGATTTTTTCTGGTAATTTCACTCCTAGTTCTCAGCCATCCGGGACATGACAATCCTAAATCTGAATATTGTTCTGGTTTTTGGATTTTGTTTATAGATAGAGTCATTCCGCTGGTATTTTGTAATTCTGATCACTTAGAATCACAGATTTGTGTTTTACCAGGGGTAATTCAATTATCTTTGCTTAAATTTTTGCAGAGCCCTCTTCTACTTGCCTTCATTTTTGGAAGAAAGGTGCTGAACATGCCGATTTCCTAATTGAGTTCATTGGGTTGAAAATCGAACCTAGGACAGCCACATTGGAAGTATGGTACTCGACCAACATTTCTGATCAGGCTGAAAGCCGTGTCTCAGAGTGTTTGTGAATCATAAACTGTTGGTACTGGACCTGGAGTTTAGTTTTCCTGCAGGTACTTTTATGGACTGACATGGGGGAAGGAAGGGGAATCTGAGTTTCCTAAACAGGAGAACACCTGCAGGACTAAAAGTAACTCTTGACTTAAAAAAAACAAAAAACAAAAAATAAAACCACTGGACTGACAACTTGCTTGCAGTCAAAATTATTGACTTTATGTTTCTTTGTTCTTTCATTGTAATTTACAGTTTCTTCAGCATTTTATTATTGATAATAGTCAATAAGCTCAGAGCTATAAACTCAGAGCAACACCTGAAGGAGAAATAAAATGAAAAATAAGAATGAATACCAACACTTAAAAATACCAACATAAAATAATTTAATCTCCAGACGAAGAGAGCATTTGGTCTGTAGTCCTGGTTTATCTGTTTGTTTTATGAAACACATTGTATGAAAAAGTATTTCCTTCTTCCTCATTTCTTCTCTTTTTGCCTTATTTATCACACTAAAATGCTTCAGGTCATACAAGGATATTTTAATATCAACCAAAAATAAAATAAAATAAATAAAGTCGAGTAAACACAAAATGTCATTTTAAAATGATTATTTTGTTTAAAAAAGTTCTCCAAACCAACATGGACCTGTGTGCAAAGGCCTTTGCTACCCTCATACTGTCCATTAATTAAATAATGATTTAACTGGTATTAACTACATTTTTGGGAAAGCTGAATTCAGTTTTAAGAAATCAAGAAATCACCAAAACAGAACTTGTCTTGCAACATGAAATAGTCCTCAGATCATGCACCAATCAAAAAGAAATTCAGAAACTTGAGAAACATGGTGTACACACACATATATATATTCAGAGTTGAGGAAAAAGGGGCAGATACTATAAGATTTTTTCTTCTTTCTGCTACCTTTCATTTCATTTTTTTCAAATACATATGTAGTATGTTTGTAAGTGTATAATTTGTGAAATGTATACAGATGGATATGTAGGTATGTATGGATGGAGGTATATTTCTTTTTTTAATTTTTGTATACTAAAAACTGTTAGGATGTTTTCTTTATTCTTTTTCTTTTTTTTTCTCTGTATTGAATGAAATGAAAAAAAAAAATATATTTATATATATATATATATATATATATATATATATATATATATATATATATAGGTTATATATTATATATATATAATATATATATATTATATATATATAATATATATAACCTGCTACACTCCCCTTAAAAAATAAGACAGATCAAGAAGGGATTTTAAAGATCAAAAAAGCAAAAATACTTCACATTTGATATGAAGCTTTTTCTTTTGCATGTTCCGTGCAAAACATTGCTTGATATCAAACTCTTTGAAGCACCACTGGACTGATCTGCTCCTCACATTTCTGTCTTCAGTACAACCACATGTTAGCCAAGCAACACAGAAGGTTAGAGATTTATCTGCATCATTTTGTCCTGCCTATTAAAAATGTATTTTTTATTGTTTGTTTGCTTCATGCACTCATCCTCAACAACACACACTGATTCACTAACACTGATCTCTTTAATACGATACCATAAATAAAACAAAACAAAACAAACAAACAAATAAAAAACCCCAACAACAACAACATCCCTGTGGTTGCAGGTAAATACGCATTTCCTCTATATGGGAAAGCAATTTTCATGCAGACACCTATACAGAACAGGCTGGGAGCTCTACTTTGGTAAAGCATATTCTAGATTTATTTAGGGAATCCATGTCTCTGAGTTAATATCTTGTGCTAATTGTAGTGAATCTAATGAACCAGATTAAAACTTAGCAATAAACCAATTCTATTTCTTTGACATTTTTCATTTTCTCACGTGTCCTTCAATGCAATACTGATCAATTAAAAAATATAATTTATTGAAGTCTTCCTTTTCAACAGCTTTTGTTGTTTTTCTGTTTGATTGTGGATGATAACTATCATACTATTCTTTGTTTGAAAAAAACTATTGCCTTTATTTATGACGACCTAGTTTTAACTTTAAAAATGTACTTCAGCCATGATGTGTAGGCGAGCTGCTGTAGGCTCTCAGGAACAAGAATGTAAAAATCAAGCAGAATGCTGCCTTTAGTACACAGAGGTATATTTACTTAACACACAAACCAGAGAGGCTTATGATGGTGAATCAACCATTTAAGCCTTTAGGATTCTAGATGCGGTGAACTAGATGTGTTCATCAGGAAAAAAGCAGCTAAATTAAAAACACGATCATTGCATTTATCTTTCCATGAAGTTCATAAAATCTAAATGAAGATCTAGACTCTCAGCAAACATTATTGCATTTTTTAAATAAAATAATAACTAATTAAAGCAGCCGGAGAAGTGTGTGACTAAGGAACAGAAACCATTTGTGTTTAAAACTCATTATGGGAGGAATAATTGTCAGCTTGCTTTCAGGTCGAAGCAGAGAACCAACCCGACGGCTCTCAGGTTCAGTGTGTTGCTGTCTTGTTGGATTCTTGGTTAACGTCTAAAAATCTCTTCAGGCTGGTGGTGGAACCCATTCAGACTGGTCACTATTTCATTTTTTCATTTAAATCCGGGCAAAACCTGTTGGTTACATGCTGTATATAACTATTAGCTTTATATCTTTCCCTGTCACAATTAACAACGAGAAAGTAAAAATATTTGGGCTTTTGGCCCAGAACGCCATTATTGGGGAGCTTGATCATGTCCCTCAAATCAAGACATGAATCTCCTATCGCTTGTGCTTCATTCAACAAAAAAATAAACAGTTTCCCCTGTTTTTTTTTACCATAAAAATAGATTTGAACAAGGCAACACTGCAACGACACGCTGGTTCTGATTCTCACAGTAGTTTTTATTTAACCTCCCACCAGAACTCAAGAGGATTTTAATCAAGCTTTTTCAGAGTTTTTCAGGAGTCTGAAATCCTTCATAACAAAAAAATGGTAAGAAGTATGTGAAGTATCCCATACTGGACAAGAACCAGCAGCAGAAACATCTCGCTTTACTTACAGACACAGCTGGATCCCAGAAGCAGAAGCAGAACCAGGGCCTTCATGTTCCTCTGCTGCTCCTCCGTGAGTCCTGCGGCCGCTGATGAGTGGGGACAGCAGAGCTGGGAGGAAGTGCGTCTTTGTGGGAGGAAAAAGTCAGCCAGCAGCACTTCCTCCCATTCATCTGAGGTTCAGGATCCTCAGAGCTGCTGGAAACACCAGAAAGGAGGAAATTCCTCAGGATGTTCAGTTGTTCTAATAAACCTGAGCAGGAGGAAACCCAAGAGGTCCAGCCTCGGCCCGGTTCTGTCATACACTGTGGAAGTGGACTGATTTGGTTACAGGATAAAAAAAACTATTTCCATTCAGGTTCTGCTCCCTGATCCAATGTTCTGAGACAATTATGGCACTTTCATGAAAAACACAAAAAAGAAATGAAACTGAACTAAATCTATCAGTGGTTGAATAGATAAGCAGAGATTAGAACTAACACATAGTAACACCTCCATTTTGATCAGAGCCAGGTAACATCAGCAGAACCTGGACTAGATGACAGTCACACAGCGACAGAGGGCGAGACGCGTTTCTTTTAAAACTAGCATTGATACAGAAGGTTTGATGTGTTCACAGGAACATAAAGAAACTGAGATGAAAAATATGACATTTAAAACAAGATGTGTAATACGCAGCAAGATTTAAGTATCATTTAAACGACAAAACGTTTACTAAAAACAAATTAACACCTGGGACATCATAAAAATGCATAAAGAAATAATTGCTGACTTTCGTGGATAAGCTGCAGCGAACTAATAGTTCTGGTCCTGATTCAAAGGAACCAAAGCATATCAACATCTCAGGATTTCAGGTAGCTGCAGCTACTGACATAAAGATCATTTAAATGAATCCCCATGTCGTCGAATGAATCACAGCCTTCAAATTGGAGTCTGGCTCTTCAGTTATTGTCTATAGAAAGACTTTGTTTTTGTTTTGTCACATATTTACAGCTAAGGGAGCTGTCTGAGGAAACCAAGCCGCTGTGTTTACTCCTGAACTTGTAAAAGTGCTGAACAGCAGCGAGTTTCAGCTCCACATCCTCTCCTCCCTCCTGCTCTTATCTTTGGGCCGGCACTTGTTCAGGCAGACAGTAAATCACACCTCCGCCTCCCTCTCACATCCTGCCCCGTTTGGGAGGAACATCTCGTCCTCCACCCTGAACATCCTGCTTTCAGGAGCTGGAAGCTGCGCAGCCGCTTAGGGTTGTAATGGGAGGACTGGTTGGTCTGGTCAGGACCATGGATGCAGGAATTAAAACATCAGATTTTTTGACTGAAACCTGCCAAACAGAGGATCTCTTCCACATCTTTCTGGCATTGGTACTTGTCAATGTTTTTTTGTTTTTTTCCCCTATTGTTCTGATTAGGTTTTCTATTACTCTTCAGTTGCTGCATCTTTGATCAGATCCAAACAACTAATGTAAAACATAAAAAAAAATGAAATAAAATCCTTTATTATTTATCAAATTGATTCATAGCAGTGCCTCCAGAGTTATAAAATGTTCATGAGTCAGAGTGAGTGGATGCATTAATCAGCATCACATAAAACCTCCTTCCTGTTCAAAGGTCTGGTTTCCTGATGGAAATAAAAGATTTTCATTTTCTCAGGTAAAACATAAGCTTAATAAATATCTGAGATGCATCAGGTTAGAAATAATGATTTAGACTTTTCTTCACTGTTTGTGTTTGGTTTTCCATGCATCGTTAATTGTTTCATGTAAAAGTTCAGTTTTCTTGCTTTCTTTATTTTTTAACTACTTAAGGAGAGTTTTGAAAACAGTCCCCAATTTTATTAACATGTCAGACAATTAGCACCTCAACACAACACCATATGGAAGATTTTGGTCAAAACTCTACAATTTCTTACCGTGGCACACTTGTTTCATTCAGACTTGATGTCTTTTATGGATATGGATATCATTAACAATATGGAAAGCCCATATTGTTAATGATAAATGGCAGTGAGGGCTTTAGTTTCTCTAAGTTTTATTGTGTTTTATTGGGTAAAACAAGGTTTATGATGTGTCTTTTGCTTCAGTAAAGATGTAAAACCCTCCCTCCTTGGTGCTCTAGGGATTCAATCAAACTGTAAACTTTATGTGTAGCATTTGCAATAACTTATAGTTTTTCTGTTGAGAGAAGATGCTTCTCTTGACAAAATGTTGTAATTACTGATACCACTGTATCACTAAGGTTGAGCTGCACTCATATGCTTATGCATAATTTTTCTTATCCAGCAACAGACTATTTTCCCCGAATAATTAGAGCTGTTCCAAATGAGAGGCATGCTACGATCTGAAGCTTCCTCAAATCTCTGAAACTCTGAACTGGCCCTGTCCTCTGAAGGTCACTACCTCCATGAGCCAGTTTTGTCCCAAATGTATATGTGTGTGTGTGTGTTTCTGTTGAAGCTGACAGGTTCCACCCAATCAGACCTGAACCAGAGAACTCGTGTCTGAGGCAGCGAGGCGCTTCCTGTGTCACTGTCTCTGTGTCGGAGGTAAATGTCTGGTTTTCCATGCGTTTGCAGTGTGCTGTTGTCACATTCAGGTAGCGTGTCAGTTCTGTCTCCACCCATCCAGACAGTTCAGACATCCATCTGTCCCCAAAGGGGTCAGAGGTCAGGGTCTGGGCGTCTATCCAAGGACTTTTCTCTGATTGGAGAGGAAAGATGGGTTTCCTGAAATTAGAGCTGCCCTGAAAGATGAAGAGGCTGAAACCATCGCCGTCTGTTTGCTGTTACATCACAGCTGTCTGAGTTCACCATGAGGTGGTTCTGACTCAGATTCAATAGATTTGTTTTTGTGGTTCCCGATGATTTGCTACCTCAGAGCTGCCGCGAAAGATGAAAGTGAAAGATGATGTCACAGTTGCCTCAGTTCTCTCAAATATGTTTCTATACTGATGGGTTCTGGCCCAGATTAGATGACTTCTGGTAAGTCTTGACTATATTGACTCTCCTGGTGGCTCCTTTTATGTCTGTGAATTTTATGGCCCTGATGGTTCTGGTTGTTCCTGAATCAGGAATCCTGATTGTCCTTGTGGTCTTTATGGTCATGATAGATCATGATGCATCCTCATGATCCAGATTGTATGTATACACCACACATGCTCAGTGAGGAAACTCCACCCAGCTGATGCCTAAACCCATCAACAGCTGCATCAGAGCAGCACGTCAGCGCTCCGGCAGGAGAACGTGCATACCTCTAATATCCTGTGCTGCCCTCTGCTGGTCACTTACCAGATTCAAATCCTGTATTAACAGGAAGAGTTTTGAATTAAAATTTTTAATCAATACAATGGGAGTGAATGGTGAGAAAAACAAATTAACTAACAAGTTTTTGATGGTTATAGAGACTAAGAGTTGTGTTTGGTTTGATGGGTTACGGTTACCAGGACATGACCACTGCAGGCTGAGATTTTATGATAGATTAAAATACATAGATGGGAAGGAGTCAGTGGGTAACCAGCTTTGTGTCCATAACATTCAGTTCTTATCCTGAATGTTAGGGTGTGGTCTACTAAAGATTTATTCTTTAATTCATTCATGTTTCAGTTCCATTCAAATACACATTATTAATCCCAAAGGGAAACTGAAAAGTTAATTTTAATTGTTAATTGTAAAGGCAAAAGGTGTGGTCTAAATTTAGAGACTCTGGCCAGATGTTTTCCTGGAATAACAACAATGACACAAGAAATCTTGTACGTGGCTATTACACACAAAACATATATATATATATATATATATATATATATATATATATATATATATATATATATATATATATATATATATTACTAATTCTTTGCCATGATTATAGTTCTCAAAAACTGCAGAACTACAAAATGGCAGAAACGAAATGACGGGGGAAAAAAATTAAAAAAGCTATTTGACATGTGAATTAAGTGCCATGATACGCTACAAAGGTGGTTTATACCTGATGTATGAGTTAATCAGTTAAAAACTGACCAATACTTTGTCTCATTTTGCCATAAATACCCGTAAACACATGGGCAGTTTAAATGATGACAGCGTGTCTCCTCCCTGTGCCGCTCTTAGCCAATCACAGAGCAGACATTGTGGCCAGGCCCCGCCTTCCTCCCACTGTCGTAGCGTTCGACCGTGCCAGCAAATTTTAATACCGAAAGTATCTCCTTTCTCGTTCACGGTACTAATGGCCGCAGAGGATCCCGAGGAAACGACCGCCCTGAGTGGTGGGAGCGACGTTCCACCCAGCGAGACAAACGAAGCTGACAGCGAGAAAAAAGAAAATGGCTCTGCCGAACCGGAAACAGAAAAAGAAGTCAGCGCCGCGGAGCCGAAAATGGAAGATGTGGACGCGAGAGAGGTGGACAAGGAGGACGCTGCTCCAACGGTCACCCAGGAAGCAACAGCTGCTCACGAAGAGCCGGAGCAAAGACCGCCGTCACAACCAAGCCTGGGGGACAATAGCAGCGAACAGAACGGCGAAATCACCATGAAGGCCCTCAAGGAGGAGCCAGATGACGATAGCCGGTCTTCGGGAATAGACTGTGAAAAGAGCACATCTGCTAGTGAAGATGGCGAGAAGGGCAGCGGCGGGGACCTGGGGGACAAGAGGCGCTCCAGTCTGGAGGTGTCATCCTCTGACGGGGAACCACTGAGCCGAATGGACTCCGAGGACAGGTGGGTTTGATGGACAGGTTCGGAGGCGGTGTTACTCTTCCGTCCCCGTCATCTGAATAGTTTTTCTTTTGTTCGCTAATCAATCTTATCAATGAATGAATCCATCTTATATTGTTGTATCCTAATCTCACACTGTAATTTGAGTATATTTATTCAAAGAGGAGAAATGTTAAATACTAAATGAAACGTTACAAATCAAAATATGTGAAGTCTACTAAAAGGATTTTATTTGGCTCTGTGTAATTACGTGAGTCTCAATTTCTTTAAAATACTTTTGGCAACACACACACACACACACACACACACACACACCTCCAGGTGGGTCATAATGAGCACCTCATGCTGGTGAAGTACGGGGGAGGATCTGTGATGCTTGGGGCCTGTTTTTCTGCCAAAGGCCTTGGCCCTAGCAGTAAATGGTCATAATTTCGATCTGCAGGGCAATGTTCCAAGTCACACTCCCAAATCATTACAGGAACAGTTTGCCAGACATAAAGCCAACCTTTGAGTGGGACCAAACTTAAATCTTAGGCTCTGCAGAGAACATGTGAGGTGATGCCTTTGGATTCCCCAGAGAGAAATGCTTAAACACCACTATCGTTGTTTCAACCTTTGGGTCATCTGTGATTTTTCTTTTTTTTTTTCAAAAGCCATTAGTTTCAAACATGGGATGTTTTCCGCTCATTGTAAAAAGATTATGCAACCACGGTGAAAGATTAATTTACTTCAGTTGTTTTATCTGCTGAGGCATTTCTCCAGGGATAACAAACTTTAACATAAAACTGTGTTATTAAATTATTCTCTGACAACCTCGGAGAACCTGAATGCTTCTGATTTCTGTCAAGATTTGCAGAAGTGCAGCATGTAATTGATGTGGCATGCATTGAAAATCTCTCCCGGCCTCCAGTGGCTTTTTTCCTCGTGCTGATTACGCAACTCGGCAAGAACAGCATCTGCACCTGTTCTTCGTGTCTGCTAAACCTGATCCACATGCGTTTTATGACTATCAGACTACACTCCTTAAGCGTTTCTTTCCAACCAGCCTGCTCTCTCCTCTTTACTCAGTGTCTGCAGCACCACCATAGAAATGGAGAGCGTAGGATCCAGCGGGCGCTCCACTCCTGCGCTGTTGAACGGCCAGAGCAGCGCCAGATCCTCTGCCACCAAGACGATGGCTTACACCTGCTGCTGGGACCGCTGTCCACAGTGCTTCAACTCCAGCCCGGACCTGGCGGAGCACATCAGGGGAATTCACGTGGACGGCCAGAGAGGAGGGGTTTGTAGACTTTTAAAGTTTTGAAAGAGCTTGGTCTAAAATCTCGGTTCTGTTCGACGCTCTACCAAGCTGGTGTACTTGTTTTGTTTTATTTTTTGTTGTTGTTGTTGTTGTTGTAGCTCAACTCTGACGATGCACAGAGCCAAACAGTTGCTGCATGGTGGTGTTGGGCCGTATAACGGTCGTAATTTTCCCACCGATAAGAATTTGTCATGTGCACAGTTGAGAAAACAGCTGTGGCGCTTCAGTAGGCAGCAATTTGTATAACACTGTTCACTGCTAGAGGCGCAGAGTCAAACGGCCTGTGAGGTAGAGCTCGCTAGCTAGCATAACAGTCTCTTAGGTAAGAGCTGGGAAAGTCCGTCGCCATTGTAAGCCATCGCCTAACCAGGAAGCATGTTGGAATACTAATAATGTATGTTGTTTATTTATTTATTTATTTATTTATTTTATTTTTTCCTGTTTAAAAATACAGTTTGCATCTTCTTGCTCCTCTTTTGTGAACACATTGGGGTTCATTTATCAAACAGGAATGCATCAAATATGCTCACATCCAGCAACGGTTTGCCTCTGGTTTATGTTGACGTCAACCTGCGTAGTTGGACAAATAAAGCTATCGGAGTTCAATCTGTTGTGTTTAATCAACAGTGCAGGATTTAGGGCGATCTTTGTTAGTGCGAGTTAAATTGGACAAATTAATTTTATGATTAGTATTAAAGAGGCTGGTTGTGTTGAGGTGATAAAGGATGTCTAAACTTATCATGCTAACCGAAATATTGTTGAAAACCTCAGGAGAAAACAATAAAATTATACTCCTACGTGTTTATTTGACTCCCTGAAAAACATGAGGTGCTCTTCATAGTGGGGGTTTCTGGACAACAAGGTCGTTCAGTGGGAGACCAGGGATACCTCCATTCAGACATGCTGGAGTTTTGCTTTGGAGGTAGTGAACAGGAGACGGTTCTCCCCTGGATTAGCAACAGGGTCTCCGTGACTCTGTGTAATGTTGTACTGGTTTAATGCGACGTGCTAATATGGATCTGAAGCCTGTCTGGTGGAGACGAGAACAAGGTGATTGCTGTCGCTCAAAAACCTGAAATAAGTTTTTTTTTTTTTTTTTTTTTTTTTTTTTAAACAATCATCTGTTTATCAATATCAAAAACTCACTGTGCAGAAAAGGCTGGGAATGAAGGGATGACGCGTGATAAATAACAGGTTGTTGCTTCCTGCCATGTATGTTTTTTTTAATGCTGGGATTGTAAAGTGTATATACATTGAACTTGTCCTAAGGTGATTTTTGCACTCGTATCCACACCAGTTTTTGATAGATGCTGCTCAATCTGTAATTTGTGTACAAAACATCTGGTATCGGATTCATTTCTTGTCGTTTTTAACCATTTTTATGCAGGTGAAAATGATGAAAAGTTGTTTACGCAAGTAAACATTCAGTGTCTTTTTTTAATGGAAAAATATTAAGACACTGCGATTCTAAAGGGAGACGGTTGCAGTGGCTAAATGTTGTGATTGTCTTTGTCTCAAACAATATTAGGAATATCCAAAAACTTCCCGGACATCCTCTACCTGCTGCTGTTTTCAGGGGAAATTAACAGACTACAAAGAATAAAGGTTAGTCCTCGCACGAACACCACGACTACTGGTCTAATTCTTCCTCTGTCTCTGTGTGCGTTTGGCAGGTATTCGTCTGTCTCTGGAAGGGTTGCAAGGTGTATAACACGCCGTCCACCAGCCAGAGCTGGCTGCAGAGACACATGCTGACCCACAGTGGAGATAAACCCTTCAAGGTAGGAAGGACGCCGATGCACTTGTGACGGTGTGTGTTGGAGAACTTCCTCCTGTTCAGGAAATCTCTCTTTTATTTATGATGTGGAAATTCACCTCGCCTCTGACATTTGGGTCACGAGAAATAAAAAAAAAAACTGGAGCTGAAACATATTTTGTGATCTTTAAAAATAATCTAACGTGATCTTCAGCAATAGTTCATCCTTCTTTTCTGAGGATGTGAATTTTCTTTGGCTATTTCGTCACTTATTGGCATTAAAGATAATAGACAACGTTTGATAAAACCACAACTTCTGGCGCTTAGCTGCTGGCCAGCCGTCTAAAGTTATGATTATATACAAATGCATACATACTTGTCTAATTTTGTGCTGTTGTTACTTTTCTGCTGCAGTGTGTAGTTGGCGGCTGCAATGCCAGCTTTGCTTCTCAAGGAGGGTTGGCTCGTCACGTCCCCAGTCACTTCAGCCAGCAGAGCTCTTCCAAAATGTCCAGCCAGGCCAAACTTAAGGAGGATTCACCATCCAAGGCGGGAATCAACAAGAGGAAGAAACTCAAGAACAAACGCAGGTGGTCCCTACGTACGTATCCAACAAGCACACAAATTAAACTTGTTTTGAAATGTTTTTTTTTTTGTCTCAGTTATGTCTTGGAGTATTGATTGACGTGTGCAAAGTGTTCCACACATCAACAGTTTGCTTTCAGTCAAAAATGTTTTATTATATTCACTTTGGGTGAATAATTGCACCAAATGAACGAGTGACTGCACAAGCTAAGTAACTCGTAGGCTTCATTAGGGCAGGTGTGAAAAAGATCGCCTGAACTCTGGTTTGGCCCAAACAAGCGAAACATCTGAAACGTCAGTCAAAGTTTAGATACGACCCCGGTCCAGCACCCCTGACTGAAATCTCTAACTTGCCTCCTCGGTATGTAGTCAAGATCTGTAGAGTCCTGATGACGACCTCAATATTTGGCTCAGCAAAGACGCGTCTAAAAGTTGCAGGATGCTGGACCTCGAGTTTGACACACATGTGTTTTAAACAGTTCAGCATCAGTGTAAGCCCAGCAGCTCTTCATATTCATTCGGTCTTTTTTTTTTTTTCTGAACAGAGTAACAAACTGATGTCTCCTTCTCTGTCTTTGGTGAGGCATTTTAACATTTAAGAGGACCACTGACTCCACGTTCTCCATTAATGGTTTTGGAGCTGCACCTACTCACAAATGCATTTTTAATTCTTGTTACTGAGATGAATAAACAAAACAAAGTTATACAACCACTAAATGTATTATATCGCATCCACAGCTCCCTTTAAGTTGGAGGTAAATGAGAAGATGATTCTAATGTATGTCTTTATATACACTGTAATGCTGATTCCACATTTTACTACCAACAGTTTTTGACCTGTGCTGATTTTAATTTACTTTTTTGTAAGTGTCATTTGTCTTTTGCTTAACTTCCCTCTCCTTGAATTTGTCTTTCCAACTTCTCAGCGAGGCCCCAGGATTTCTTTGATGTCCAAACTATGGATGCTCTGCGCCACCGGGCCATCTGTCTCAACCTCACCACTCACATCGAAAGCGGGGGAAATGGTCACAGCGTCGTCTTTCACAGCACGGTACGCGTTGTATTTTGCTCTGTCTCCTAAATGTTGCGAAATAATATGCATTTCCTTTATGAAAGTAAATGACTCTAAAGAGGTCTTCCTTTTAAACGCGTGAGTATTTTCTGTAGCAATACTTGTGTTGAAGAGTAAAACGGTGCACATTCCTAAACAGTAGGATGCTATTACTGGGTACAACATGCAGTTTTACTTAAACTGAACGTATTTATTATGTAGAGAATTTTTCAAAATGTGAAAATTATTTTTACTTACCTCTTACTTGCATACATTTTAAGGAGGTTTGTGCTACAGTGATCCAGATTTCTTATTGGTGCGAGTGAGTACTGCTTTAATTTTTCCATATGCGAAATGTTTGATTCATCATAAACTGTCATTACCACTCCACATTGCGTTGAGTTTTTCCAAAAGACGCTACTTCTGTTGTCCAGCAGAGGGCGACAGGAATCCCTTTGTGACAGTTTCCGTCCCGTTCGCAGTTCTTCTTTGTGCACTTGAACTGAACCTGTAAAAGGCCCCTTTGGCTATGATTTTTCTTTGAATCATAGCAGAGACAGTTGGGATTGTTGTTTTTTTTGTGTGTGTGTCTTTGTGCGTTTCTTATCCTATGCATAATTTATGGACTGTGAATGTTTTTGGCCCTTTTTTCCCCAGTGGTGAATATAAGCACTCGTTTAGGATTAAAAAAAAATCTCTTCAACTGACTGAGATTTTAAAATCTGTGTTTAATTTGATTGTTGGATTTATAAAAACATTGGATTTGACAAATGCATTGTTTTTAATTATATTTTTTGATTGCTCTGCTAAAGATTTGTCTATTTTGTTTAGACTTTTGGCTTTAAATGTGGATTTGCTTTTTGGTCAAAAGTATGGTAAAATTAGAAACACTGATTATTGACAAACTGCTTTTGTTCAGTTGCATATAAGCGACCCTAGTCATTTATCTGCTGTCATAATCTAAACATATCTGTGAATCAACACAGAATAAGGTTTTGGCTGTCAGGTTGCTGAGGTTTAATCTGTCCTTGTACATCATGTTCAGTTGTGGTACAAGTTGAGCTTTTTCTTTGACAGGACAAACTTAAAATGATTGTTTCCAAGTGGCAATAGTTGGGGTTGTTGTCATAATTATGCTATGAAAACATAATTTCTTTGAATTTCCTGTTTGGGCACAGTTAAAAATACTTTTAGCGACACAGGCTAACTCGATATGAGCTCACTGTGACTGACGGCTCATCTGTTGATTCTCTATGCACAAAAGCAATACAAAACCTGTTTATTTAGGTCACACAAGAGAAATTAATATATGTATTCTTAAGTACGGTGCTTGTCTGTCTTGTTATATTGACAGTCTGGGCAACAGCTCATATGACGCCCATCAAAAACCACCATAGCTCGTGTTAAAATTGTAAATATATTCATGAAAATGCATTTCATTAAATTTAAATTGATTTCATAATTTAAACGAGTGAAGGAGGAAAAACTCAAATTAACAAACAAGGATGCAGAGGAGATTAAAAAAAAACAGAGGTTAAGTGAGGGTCAGGGTCATGGAAGTCGGAAGGAGATCTGACGCGTTGGGCATACGTACAGTTTCCCTTTGACCTCTGGAGGATTGTGGTGAGAAGCAGCAGTGCTCCTCCAGACCCCGGGCCCCACTGGGCCTTCCCAGGCCTGGGGAGACGGAGCAAAGCCGCGGGGGTTCTGTGGAGCTTGGCGAGAGGGCCTGTTGACCTGGCACACTAACTCAGTCATGTTTATGATGGGATATTTTTGTTATTTTACCGATTTGCGTCATCCACATCTTGACCCCCTGACTTTAGACAGGCACCCAAGTCAAGTCAGCCCTCCCTTCTCTTTTGCTCTGCACTTTTTTTTATTTTTTTATTTTCTTTACTGCCTGTTTTGGAAACAGTAATATCTACTGTTCATTCCCTGTGCACTCCTACTGCCTCTACCCCAATTAGTTTTTTTTCTTTTACTACTCTTTCGTGAGTTTTTAGAGGATTAAAATTTGCCCCTTAAAGCGACAACCGCCATCATCAGACCACTCAGCTCACAAATCACGTCTTTCTGACAGAACACAAGTCCACTTTTTTCTCTCCAGCTCAAACAAACACAGGCATGGGACTTTTTTAATGTAGCCTTTGTTTGTAATTATTAACTTTATTTCAGAGAACTATATAATTCCAGCTTTTGTGTTTTACTTAAATGTGCAATAAAACAGCTGGTTTCCTTAGTCTACAGTACTTGAGACACTTCTAAGAAAACGGCAGCATAAACTGGACTACGCTACAAAAACACTTAACCTTACCAAGTATTTTTGGTCTAGTTTCCAGTGAAAATATCTTAGCTCACATGAAATGAGTCAAAACTAAGATGCAAGTAACTTTTCAGCAAGATATAGGAGCTTGTTTTAAGCCTTAGTCTAGTACCGTTGACGGATTATTTCACTTATAACATGAGAAAATTGTCTTGTTATAACCTGCCAGTGGAGCCAGTACTTTTAAAAAAAAATCTATATTAATAAATTACTGAATTAAAACAAGCTGGATTGAAAGCTATAATGAATCTTCCCAAAGCATTTTTAAAATCTGTCGTCAAGAATAAAAAGTTATTGTGAAGGCGATGGAGACCAAACATGGAGGCCAGTAAGTTTATATTTCAGGTATCGATGCTCGCACCGTTCCTGTGCTCTGTGTATATTCTTCCTTTAGGCCGCCTCACAGAGAAATGTAGAGGTTTGTCTCATCAAAACTATGCTGATGAGACACAGACCTACATATCCCTGAAAGCCTGCTAACTTTACAAAACTCACTACTCTGATGCCTCGCATCTTAATTTAGTCCTATTGGATTGTATTAAAACAGATTTGCTCATATTCCTATTAATATTCTTCAGTCCTGTTGGAAATAGTCAAAAATGTGTCCATCACAAACTTCCACTACGGCTGCAAGAGTGTTTACAGACACTAATCTTGCTTGCATTGCCAGACTTCTTGCTTGTTGCCACTCAGGATTTAGTTCGAAATCGTTCTTCTCGTTAAAGAGGTAAATAACATGCCTCCTTCTGACATCACTGACCCATGAAGTCTAGGCACTTCCTGGACTTCTTTAGATCAGAGTCTTCTATAGTACCTGAGTCTTTTCTCTGACTCTCTGCTGGATTCTCTGATTGTTGCTGTTCGGGTTTTTTTTGTTGTTGTTGTTGTTTCATTTAGCCTCTGCTGCTTTGCTTTCAGTCTGCATTCTTCGGTTATTTGTTGTAGTTTGTTTAATTCATTT